ATTAAAATTTCCAATTTCTCGAATACAAAATTCCGAAACTCCAAATTCCCAAATTTCAAATTCTCAAATTATAAAATTGCCAGCACGAAAATTCCAAGTGCATCGAAATTCCAAAGGTTGAAAATTGTAAATACGAAAATTGCAAAGTTCGTTGGAGCTTCGTATATATGTATATCGAGGCGGCCAAGTCACTTCTAAAACTCGCAAAAATTTTGATTGTACCAAGGGGGAACGGGATGAAAAACGACGAAAGAAGCCGAGCGTTAGGTTCAGATCGGAGTAAAAAGAATGGCTCTGGTCGAGACGAAGGGAGAGACGTGACGGGATATTAGCTAAGCAAAATGAAAACTAAGACACCGTGGCAGCGGGTATTCGCGGTGGCTGCCGCTGAAAACGGACCAATCGTCGTCGTCTTTGGGGACTGTTAGCATGTCCCGATGTCTTTAGCCACCTGGAGTTATGGTATATCGTCGCCATTTGGCGTGCACTAGGTCGCCTTGTACCCTGTCAACCGGTGACTGAGATACTGGGATCCAAGGGAAAACTGATCAAGTCCCTCAACCACTACAATATCGTGACAGAAGCTTTTTCTACCACTGGAAATCACTGGTTGTTAAAAAATCAAACTTTTACGAAACACGAACATTACAAACTTTCTTGCTTTCTGGTTCGGACATTACGTCGACATTAAAATTAGAAGTGCTTAGGTATTAACAGAGGCCTCGTTTCAGAAATTATTATGAGATTCAAATTTGAATTTTAGGCGAGGAAGAGACTTATTTTCACAAAAACGAACATCCACAGAGGAGGTTTTCAGCAGAAAAGGTACATGGTCTGACAGAGAAAATTCTGTATTCTGAAGCAAATTTGATATTCTGTTAAGGAAGAAATCCGAGAAACTCGGAATTACCAGATATCGACGAAGAATACTTTTCGAGCGAAAATTTCAAGAAGAAACTGAGTGTAAACCGAGTGAAAGAAAGAAAGAAAATGAACTTCCAGAAGCTGTTCTGAAGCCTTATTTACCTCTGTATCGTTCTGTAAATATTGCTCAGCCAGACGACAAACGGGGCTGAGTGGGAAAAGATGTTTACCTGAAGGAGTAGCTCCTGAGATGACACAGCTACTTAACATGGTTTCTATGTAACATTCGAATCACATTTCTTCACGGGGGTCTGTTTAATTACGGGGCCACTTTAAACAAACCGGGGCTAGTTTCTGTAAACACGTGCTACTTGGCTGGATGTAAGTGCCGACGGAGATGTCACGTTACTTGCTATCATCAACTACTGCTTGTACACCGGAACGTTAAAGAACACACCTTATCCGATCCAACGTGAACATTTCAACGTTTAAATTGGAAGATATTCAACTATGAATTTACCTCAGCGTGGGATGAAAATTTGAAAGTGAAGAGTACAGATGATTCGCAAAACTTACGAGTTGAGAATACAAGAAGAAAAAGACTCACCAGCATCCTCAGTTCCATCGGTGTTCTCCATGTTACAGTGCAACACCTGGAACAGGAAGTCGATGTACCTTGTGGCCAGCTTCAGCGTCTGGATCTTGCTCAACTTGTCACTGGGCAACGTGGGTATGATCTTCCTCAATGCGGCAAACGCCTCGTTCAAACTCTGCGTCCTCTGTCGTTCTCTCACATTGGCCATCACCCTTTGATTCTGAATCTCCTCGAAAGTTGCTCCACTCTTCCTCCTAACCTTATTCTTCGTCGAGGATGCGTTACTCTCCGTTTCAGACTCGTTCTCGATGCTGCTGGACTTCCTCTTTCTCTTCCCACCGTTCCTCGATCCTTCGATCACGTAACTCTTAGTCGAGGAAGACGGCTCTGTGATCTGGCTCATCTCCACCTGTTTGTACCTCTGCTGGTCCACATCAGGTTTGTACTCCAGCACTTCCGGCTTGTATTCCACCGATTCCACATGGTGATAACCCTGCTGAGGCTGTCTAGGCGCCATTTCTTCGCCACCAGAGGAATACATCTGAGGAGACGGTGTCAGATAGAGACTTTGCTCGTGATCTCTGCTATGATCGGACAGAAATCCTGGAGAATTGTCGTGTAGACGTCTGTCGTAATCGGTCTGCAATTCCCTGAGGATCTTCCCGTTTGGATGGTCCTGGTACCTCTTCTCCTCGTCGGGATTCTCGTACATCAGATAGGTGGGCTGTTGGTACAACACTTGATGGTGATGATGATGGTGATGATGCGTTGGATATCCAGGTAGATCTCTGTGCTCCGGAGGGCTGCTGAGGTCCATCAGGTGTGTCGGAGGTGAGAACCTTTCATAGTGGTCGGGAGAATTACTGGCTGAACTTCCAGCACTGTGGGGAATCCCAGAACTGTCGTTATTGTCCAGAAGGTAAAGACCTTGGATCCTTTGGGTCTGAAGGCTCACTGGTTGCGAAGTCTGCATCTTCCTTCTGTTTTCTTTTTTTTTTTTTTTTTTTTTTAATCAAAACTAACACTTCTTCGAAAGTCTTCGAATTTTTCCTTTTCCTTTTTTTTTTTTTTTTTTTTTTTTTTTTTTTTTAATCAAAACTAACACTTCTTCGAAAGTCTTCAGTACTTGGACACTAACATCACTCTCGAACTATTTTCAGCCACTTTTCGAACCAGCAGTCTATCTACAAAAACTACCTTAACTGTGAGAATGATTCTGTACTCGGTGAAATGTGAGTTCTCTTTGAAAGTTTCGACTACGAATGGACACTCTGAGGACACTCGAAGGTGTCAAACGGGGGGGTTTCAAGGAGGGTAGAGAATTAAGACACGTCTACGCTATGAAAGTTCAGACTCGTCTGAGGGAACCAAGCCTCTGTCTGCCTCTTCATGTCAACGAGGAACCCCGCCTCTGACCATGGAGCTGCACCCCTACCCTCTTCGCTCTACTGTTCCCCTACCTGAACCTCTCTGTTCCCCTCCTGAAGCCCTGGCCAGCCCCTCCACAGATCCAACACGGTTTCTTTTATCCCAAGAGTCCGTCAGTTATTCCCCACCCACGATTCTTCGCCTATGGAAGGAAAGGGTCGAGGTGAAAGGGGGGAATTGGAGGTTAAGGGACTCGATCGGGGAGCCACGAAGTTGTAGCCAGTGTTGGAGGGGGGGTGAAAGTGGAATTTAGACATGATTTCGAATGATTTATCGCTATTTTGTATATTTCTTTCTTGGTCAGGTTCCCATGGAAGAGGTAGAAAATTAATTTTCTTCCTTTTTCAATTTGTTTCTGTATTCTCTCGTTTTGGGTCGAATTTCCGTATCCTCGCGATGGAGATTTTGCGAAAAAGACGAACGACGATCTCTCCGTTGTTTCGGTGATGAAAATTTGGACGATTGAAGAGGTTAGAAAGAGACGAATGTAGCGAGATGCACGGTGCAAGAGAGAGACGGAGTGATGAAAGTAAGGAGAGCGAGAGAAAAGGAGGATAGGTAGGAGAAGGATGGAAAGCTTGAGGGACGACCCATGTTGAATATTTATATCGCGAGGAGCCAGTAAGAATAAAGCGAGGGATCGCCGGCAACAGGCAACGATCTGCGAAACTTTGCCTTCGCCTTCCATGAAATGGCGCGAAAACGCCCCAATTCTGCAGCTTCTAATTGTTTTCAGTATCTCCTCTTCACGGTGAAATTTCCTTCCAACCTGTTTAAACGATATATTCCTTATAAATATTTTTTCCCGCAAAATTAACAACAAATTATCAAAATAATAGTAAAATTAACAAAAAGAAAAAATTATACTTAAATTAATGAAAAAGAAAAATCAACTCTTCAACAAGTCCATATTTTTTCACAGAATTCCATCCTGTGGATCCTGTTCCTCGAATCCAAAGTCTACATTTCCAACTGATGAATTTCTGAAAAGTCAGGCACAATTGCTCCAATTCAAATTATAATTCCATCGTCCCAAATTCTAATCCAAAACGTTCGTTCTTACCCAGATACGTCTTTCAGATCAGCGGTCGCCAACCTTTCGGACCTCACGGACCACTGAATTCAGAATTTTAAATCCCGCGGACCACTAATATGAATTTTTTAAAAAGATAAATTTGCAAAATAACGATCAGGGAACTTCCAATTTATTACTATGAAACGCACCTGTTTAATATAACAAAAAACCTAGCAATAATTGTGAAAAAAATATCCATATAGAAATGCCAACACATATTGGAAAAATATTTGATTGCAAGGATATGTGTTGAAACAATGTTTTTAATACCTTTTTTCGGTTGTAGTCACTATGCTTGAAGAATGTAAGAATTTCTTAGAATATCACTTTTGTTTCATTATTAATAAAACATAAAAAGTGCAGATAATGACCAAAATTTTCTCGCGGACCACCGGTTGGCGACCGCTGTTTTAGATCCTTCCAACCTTTCAGAACCGGACAACAGTCAGATACGATTATCCTAAATTAAACCTTAAAATGAAAGATACCACAGTATTAGCTATTGCTCCAAAAAAAGAAATTTACTCTTCCATAGAGAAACTGTTTCAAGTTCTTCCGAACAACCGTGTAAATTCCATTCCAATCGTAACCACAAAGTGCAAAGCCGACGACGAGGCAACAAAACTGCAAATTGACGCATTAAGTATCGGCGCCAAGCTCTAAGAAACGTTTCAATTCGGGACAGGACTTTGTTGGTGTTGGTTTTCGCGGATTTGAATAAATGCACGCGGCGTGGAACGATTGAAAACCGCGCGTGAAGGAGCACACACAGCTTCAGCGTGGCGAGGCCGCGTGATGGATGACCAGGCTGGATTGCCGGGACGTGTTTGTTGTGACGGACGAAAGCTCTTTTGAAGGTGTTCATAAATTCCACGTTTCGGGCTTTCACGAGCTCCATTGCCCGTGATTTACCATTTCTCGTTCGACGTCTCGCCACGCCCCGCGAGAAATTTAGCTCACGGGGGTGGAAGTCAGAAATGGAGGAATCTCTTGAAATCCTCCTTAACCGGGCAATTTTATCCTCTTTTAGTCACCTCGACTCTTTATTTTTTTTTAGCTAATATTCTCTTGAAGCAATGGATATTTAACAGATGCTGTACTATTTCTTCAGTTAGATTTGTCTATTTTTTAGTTTCTTCGTTTGTTTCTCTAATTGGAAGCGGATACTTTCTCTTGAAGTAGCAGACATATGTACATAACTATACATTTATTTCTTCACTTTTTCAAGAGTAGGGTAACATTGCCTAATATGAGACCCATTTCTTAAAGAAGTCATAACTGTTGACTAAGAACACTTTTATTAAAATTCGATACATGTTTGAAAAGTACGATATGTATTCTTTTGTAAGGTACTGGAATGTATAATAAAGAAAATTCGGTTCCTCCGTAATAAAATAAAAACGAAAATTATGCAAATACACAAATTTAAAAAATGAGTTCCTAATATGAGAAAACTATTTTTTCTGTCTTTTTTCACACATTCGGCATATTAAATCTGTTTCTTCGCCACCGCAGACTTCGTGGGCTCACCGGTAACACTTTGTACGCTAAAACAATGAGACTCTTCTTATAATAGGAACTTCCGAGGGTCTCGTATTCGGAAACAATAACACAATTAAGTAGCTGTGAGATTAAGTCTTCGTTATTTAACGATACGCAACTAGTAAGTCTTAAACTCCATTGCATGCACTATACAACGGTATTTATGAAAATGTTTATAAACTTACTATTTTCGAGGTATTTGTAATGCAACGTATTGCACAAATATGCTTGTTGAAGACGCTTGATTGATTTGAATGAAATTTCATATTTAATTTGATAATCAATGCGGTTAATTACGAAACAAAACAGCATCGCTACGACGTTCAAGAGTTCTCTAGCGAAGATACGCTGGGGTCTCGTATCAGGAACGGTCTACTTTATCCTATTTGTAGTTGACTTCATATTGTTCTGTTTTAAGCTGGAGTAATTGCATTTCTTCAACTAAATCTCTTTTGTATCGGTAGACACGTGCATTTCATTTAGATATTAAATGAACATGCATAACATTTAGATATTAAAAAATATCTTTTTTTATCTGTCTTCGTACGTGTATTTCAATTAATCCTATACCATAATTTCTTTTTCTCTCACAGAAATTTTCTCCTTTTTACCTATATAGTCTTCAATCGTATATCTTTATATTTCGTACAATTTTTCTCGTCTCTTTCGCTATCCGTGTCTTCTTTACACGCGCACATTTTCCGCTGAAAATTTCCACAGGCACGAATAATCTCCTGACAACGTCACCAACGAAGAAACAAGAAGTGTCTCTCCCCTGGACAAACCCCAAAGTATTCAGCTAGCATTATTAATAGCCTCTGATGGAAAGTTGCAAACAAGTGGAAGCACAACTTTCTAGACATTTGAGGAAGCATCCGGGTGTTGTTGGCAACGTCGAAATGCGTTTATCGAAAGTGAAGACATTAGGCGTGCTTCATCGTGACCCTTCTTCCGTCGCGTTCTCGGAAGCAAGACGACGGGAGCAGAAAATCCCGTGATTCTGGCTCGTGGCCAACTGAAAATCAGATCGCCAATAAAGAGGCCGATAAATAACGCGGCCAAACACCAAAATAATACTCGCCGCTGATCAAAGTCGAATAACTCGCGGCGTCTTCCTGGCTTTCCTTAATGCCTGAAAATTTGCCCCGTATCGACCTGATTTTTGCGATCGCTCTTGGATATGTTCATTGGCAACAGTACTTGCTTGCCGCCCTTCTGCGTGAAATTAGATGTTGGAAATGTTCGGCGATGCTTGATCTTTCGGGGTGATCTTTGGCAATTCTAAAATAAGAAATCTTAGTTACGTTCATAGAATTTTTTAATTTCAACAAGAGTTTTCGATACTTCCAAAGTTCTCGTAATTTGGATAAATTCCTCCCAAATACAATTTCTCGTCGTTGAAGAAAATTGAGAGATGGAGAATTTTCAGAGGACAAAATTGAACGAGCATCGCTATGCGACGTCCTCTAAGCATCAGAGGAGGAGCTGTGCACGTGCTTGCGTTCCTGCCGCACGCACCGTTTCACGATATTAACTGGGACTTAATTGCGCGTATTGGGTCGCGTTTAATCGACGCACATGCGAAATCTGTGCTTTGCCTTGCACCGCCCCAGGTTAAGAGATCTCCGCTGCCTCCTTTTTCCCACCAGCATCCTCTTCTTTTACGGCTTCCTTCCTGGCACCCTACCATAACGTAAAAGAAAAATACTGATTCATACTCTTCGAATAAATTTTAAATAACTTTAAACAAATCTAAATATAAAGGTACTTCATTTTTTTGTCAGTTGATTAGAAGAATGTCTTTTTGAGAAATTTTAATAACTTTACAAATTTGTCAACAAGACGTTCCATTCATTTTTCAATATTTGTTGTTAGCGATACGCTAAAGAAGTTAGTCAAACAGATATAACAAAGAGTGAAAGAGCACT